GCAGATTCAATTATAGGATTGAAACAATATTTTAACACGGAAAATGTTGAACTAAATATTTCCCCATTGGACTACTGGTAGGTAAAAATACATAACATAAGATAGTGATGTGAAAAAACATCGATGCATCGACAATCGATGTTTTTTGGCGATGTTTTCCGATGTTTTTATTGATACCGATGTTAAGTGATGCATCGATGTTTGACAGAACATCGGGCGTTGAATTTCACAACATTGCAGAACATATGGGTATACTGCCACTTGGAAAAATTCGCGAATTTGTTTTATTTTTTTACCCCGTGTTTGCAATGCCAAAGTAAGTAAATTGTTGAAAATATATATAAATATAGTTATTTGCAATTACAAATGTATTTATTCTAGAATAACAACAAAGACAAGCTTTTGCTGGAGGCACTTTACTAAAATTGATGTAAATAGCGCAAAATGCAACATTTGCAACAAAGTTTTGAAGACTGCGGGTAACACGACCAACATGAAGGACCACCTGCGGTCCATTCATAAAATAGATCAAAATGTTGAAGTACCTGCAGTACCTAATACTAGCGGTGTGGCACAAATTTCTATTGCTGAAAGCTTTCAAAATATGGTGGAGTATAGCACCGACGGAAATAAAACAAAAAGAATCAACGATGCGATTATTTATATGATATCAAAAGATGTGCAACCATTTTCGATAGTCGAAAACAAAGGCTTCATACATTTAATGAATACGGTTGCACCGCGTTACAAGATACCGTCGCGATATTTAATTACAAAATGGGTGGATGAGAAGTTTTTGGAAATGAAGGAAATGTGGAAGAGATTGCTGAATGGGAAAACGCTAACATTAACAATGGATGTATGGAGCGACCAGATGTCAATGCGGAGTTACTTGGGCATTACTGCTCATTTTCAGCTTGAGCTTGAAATGACTTCCTTGACTATCGGAGTTTTAGAGCTAAGCGAGCGTCACACATCAGTATACCTCACTGAAATGCTGGAGAGTTGCTGCAAAGATTGGCACATTGAAAAGGAATTAGTGACAGCCGTCGTCACCGACAATGGGGCAAATGTCGTCAAAGCCGTTGACCTAGGTTTTGGGCGAAAAAAGCACATACCATGTTTTGCACATACCCTAAATCTAATTGCAAGATCTGCTATGCAAAGAGATTCAATAAGTGCATGCATTGAAAAGGTAAAGGGAATTGTAACTTTTTTTAAGCAGAGTTGCGTTGCCAGCGATAGCTTAAGAAAAGTAACGGACAAGGTATTGATCCAAGATGTGGCTACTAGATGGAATAGCACATACTACATGATTGAGCGTTACTTGGAGCTTAAAAATTTCGTAAACGATATTGTCATAAGTGTTCGCAACGATGTTGAGATACTAAATGGAAATGAATTACAGTTGCTTAATAATATCATGCCAATGCTGCGCCCCCTTGAGGAAGCCACAAAAATAATAGGCTCAGATACATATTGCACAGCCAGTATGGTTATCCCAATGGTGAATATCTTAAAAACAAAATTGCTTAACGTTGATGACATCACGCCCGAGGCAAATGACATTAAGAAATTTCTGCTTTTCGAAATCGATAAGCGTATGGGTTCAATAGAGAAGGTATGCTTGAAATGTCATCATTAATTTATTCTAACTCTATTACTAAAATTAAGTCTATGATAAAACCGATGGTCAAAGACTACAATAGTAATGATATCGTGACAAGCACAACTAAATCCGATTCTTTTTGGGACCACCATCACCAGCTGGCACATTCTCATGAGCCTGATGGGGATATTGATGTGGAGATGATAGCGTACCTGCGAATGCCATTAGCGTCATTTGAAAGCAACCCTCTACAAGTATGGGAAGGTATGAAAAACACATATCCCAATTTACATAAAATGGCGCTGCAATTTTTAACGGTAGTTTGATCGTCGGTTCCTTCTGAGCGGGTTTTTTTCAGCGGCGTCATATCTTTTAAGCCAAAGGAGAAATAGGTTAGATCCAAACCGACTAAGCCGCATTTTATTTTTGCAAAGTATCGACAAAAAATACTTTTTTGAAAAAAAGTAATTACAATAATTAAAATTTCGTTGAAAGCATAAAAAAGGACTGCTAAGGAAACATTTATTAATATTATTTATTGTTATATTATTATTTTATTCATTTTGATTCTCAATGTAATTAAAAAGACTGCTAAGGAAGCATTTGTTATATTATTTTTTAATCTGTTAATTATATTGTTAAGTAAACCAATCAGTAGAGAAATAAAAAAAAAACTAATAAAGCATTTATTTAAAAGGCTTTTAAGAATTGAATTAACGAAAAATAACGGAATTGGTAGAAAACATCGATACATCGATGTTTATAACCGATGTTTTACACAACATCGGTTTATCATTTTGCAAACATCGATGAACATCGACATCGAATTTTCGACCCAAATTTACATCAATAACATAAGAGTAAAACATTTTTAATTAAAACAATTTCTTCACTAGAGCTGGAGAACCATCGATGGAACTATCGATATAATCGATGGAACTTTATTTGTTCGATACATCGATGGAAATTTCTCGATGGTCAATAAATCGACAATTTAATTTGAGTGGAGAGTGTGCACGCGTAAGTCAGAAATCTTGTCTTCTTATTTTATTCGTTTTTAGATTTACAAAATAACTATTGCAATTCAACATTGTAGCGAACCATATCAAACTATCAACTGGCAGTTCCTCATTCAATATGGACAAATTTGTCGCTACGTCGAGTAAGTTTGTACTAAATCATTTGTAGTCTGATTTTAATGTATTCTGTAATTTCTTAGAAAAAGATGTTGTTGCCCCTACGCCTTCAACAACTTCAAGTCCACCTAACGCCGCTGCTCCCATCGATCGCAAACGAAAAAAATGCGTTTCGGAAGTTTGGTCCCATTTTGACCGCTTAAATAATAAAGTCTTTGCCAGATGTCGACATTGCGGCAAAGAATACCGCACAAGTGGGAACACATCAAATTTGATGGAGCATTTAAGACGAGTTCACCCATTTGAGCAAAATATTGAAAAGACCAAAAGTACAACCGACTTAAAATCATATTTTCCTCGTAGCGAGTGTTATAGTTCTACGTCGACCAGGAAGGCGCAAATTGACAAGTCCCTTGCTCGCATGGTGGTACTTGATTTGCAGCCTTTTTCAATAGTCGAAAATGATGGTTTTAAAAATTTAATAAAAACACTTGATGACAAATATGTTTTGCCAAGTCGTCCATACTTGAAAGACGTGCTGGTGAAGAACATGTACGTACATGTACATGTACATGTACATGTAGGATTCGTTGCGAAAACTGAAATCATTAATAAATAATATTGATTTTTGCTCATTGACTACGGATACATGGACATCACGAGCCAATGTGAGCTATATTACGGTAACATGTCACTTCATTAACAATTTTAAGCTCAAATCTGCTGTACTGTCGACGCAACCGCTTGTGGACCAAAGGAATCACAATAGTGAAAATATTGCCACAACGTTAAGACTGATTTGCGATGAATGGGCAATCTTTGACAAAGTGCAAATGATTGTCACGGATAATGCGGCATCCATGATCAAGGCATGTGATATTTAAAAAAAAAACACTTGCCCTGCTTCGCCCATACTTTAAATCTAGTCATGCAAGACGTTATGGCAGAAAATAATGTCAAACCAATATTAAACATTGTGAAACGGATTGTGGCATTCGTTAAAAGCAGCGCCATTGCCAATGCAAAATTTAAAAATGCGCAGGCCACAGAAACTCCTTTAAAATTGGTGCAAGAGGTCCCAACAAGATGGAACAGCTCTTATTATATGCTGCAACGGGTCCTCCGAACGAGGGAACCGCTTATTGAGACTTTTAAAATCTCAAAATGCGCCGATTCCCTTATCGGAGGACCAGTTCCGCATTATTGAAGATCTATGTTCTTTATTTGAGCCTTTTGAGACGGCAACAAAACATTCATCGGCGTCAAATACTGTCACGATTTCACTCATCATTCCAGCAGTGCTGACTTTGACAAAAAGTTTGGAGGAATTGGTGCCCAAAATGAAAACAGTAGTCGGTACGGAAGTTGGTCTTTTTTTAATAAACGCAGTTAAAACAAGTAAGAAAGCTCTAGTCGAGACTACTCGACTACGAGATCCCCTGAACCCTTGGAGCAATAGCTATTTCAATAATTTTTCGCGTCTTACAGCTTACACAAGAAACACGCACACACACACACACACGCGCACGCACGCACGCACACACAGGCATACATACACATACACACACATACACACACACACACACACACACATACACAAACAATTACATACATATACACACACACAAGCATAAACACGCATGGGCGGCAGTGAGCGCTTAATATGAGAACTTAATTGCTTAATAACTTTTTTGTGGACGTACGATCATCATGAAACTTTCAGATTATGATTATGACATGGATATGCATGTAATTGCCAAAGCACAAGTCTCTAGTATTTGAAATACGCTTTTTACAAAAGTGAGGGTGAGGGGGTGAATTTAGAGGTGGGGGGTAAATTTTAACAAAAACCGAAATTGTATAAATTGCATATAGGCATACATTAAAAATTTGGAGACTCTAGCAATAAAGGTGTAGAAGATATAATTTTATAACTGGTTTTCGATAAGGTTTTTTATCGATAAAAAAGATCGGGATGAGTTATCGATTTTTAATGATAAACTTGATATGCGCGCTGTAATTACGAACATTTAAAAAAAAATTGAAGTCTCTAGCTCTTATATCTTCTGAAATCGACGCGTTCATACATACGGACAGACGGACAGACGGACAGACGGACGGACGGACAGACGGACAGACAGACGGACAGGGCCAAATCAACTCAGCTCGTCGCCCTGATCAAGAATATATATACTTTGTGGGGTCTGCCACGCCTCCTTCTGTCTGTTACATACATTTCAACAAAACCATTATACCCTGATTTCCCATTGAAAATGGGTTCAGGGTATAAAAAAGATTATATCCATATGAGAATCGGTCTGGCCCAAGACTAGGAACTCTGCTTGATGCTCGGTTTAAAAAGGAAGGATTCCAAAATGCAGGAAATGCGCAACAAGCTGCATTGGGTTTAGAGGAAGAGCTGTGCTCTATCAAAGATTGTGCGACAAATCCTGATTTAAATGAGGAACTGCCGAAAGAGAATAAGTCGCCATTTTTATTCAAATTTATGGAGCAAAAAGTGATTGAGAAACGTTCTAATCGCCGAGCGGACGCAATTATAATGATGCGGCAGTATATGGAGCAGCGCAATGCATCGCACGATACTGATCCGCTTCAGTAACTGATAGGTAACTGATAACATATTCGTATCTATTTGATTTAATGATTTTATTTTTATTTTGCTTTTTAGATTAATGAAAATCAATTAAATGGCCTTAGTCGCTGCGCCTTGAAGTATTTGTCAATTCCGGCAAGCTCCGTAGAGTCGGAACGCATTTTTAGTAAGGCAGGAGCGATCATCACCGACCGAAGAACTTCTTTAAAAGAAAAGAATGTAAACCAAATCATTTTTCTGAACAAAAATCAATGGTTGGAGAATGAAGTTCATCTAAAAAATGAAGCTTTATTACAGTAGTAAGATTCGAAAGTCAAATGATCTCTTATACTTTTTTAAAATTATTTTTGCTAAGCAACTGAAATGGAGAATGAAGTTGATCTAGAAATTTAAGCTTTATTATAGTAGTAAGATTTGAAAGTGAAATAATTTTTTATATTTTTTGTATTTTTTTTTTTTTTATTATTATTATTTTTGTTAAGCAACTGAAAGAATCTCGTTGTATATTATTAAGAAAACTGGACTGAATAAACCTTGTTTGTTGAACCTTAGCATTCATAGTATGTAAATATGTATTTAATGTGCAACATTTTTGATTTTAATATATAAAAAATTTTTCGATGGAACCATCGATAATATCGATGGTTTGAACCATCGTTGGTAAAACCATCGAGTACCGTCTCTATCGATGGTTCTCCAGCTCTATTCTTCACAGATCTCAACTGACAACGCATTTAAAAGATGCGTGAAAAACTTTGTGCGTTTTTAGAAGTCACCTTCTTCTCAGCTGAGGCTGTTTGGGGAATCACGGGGGACACGGATACTGCAACTGTGGAATCAGACATTTTGTATTATTCACTTTATAACAAACGAAACGAAACGTCTTATTTTTTGTTAATTGGAAAATATCATGAATTTTGGTCACCCGTTTGAATGAGAATCGAGGAGGAAGGCCGAACGAGAATGTTTGTGCCATTGTTTACAACTACCATTTTATTGACTTGTATTTTTAATCATTTTGATTTAGATTTCCAAATTAAATATGTATTAGATTGTATTCTCAAATGTTTGAAAAATTCATAAAACAAATTTTTGCTTACTTTTTTATAATTTCGTGATTTTTTATTGCCCCTCAAGGGCTAACTTTGTATGAATGCAAAATAAGTTATCTTGGAAAAATTATGGTTTTAATTAAATAATAATAATAATGTTTATATATCAATTTGAAAGATAATAGTTCATTAATTTGTTTATTAAATACAACTATCAATATGAACAATCCCTATAGATTTATAAATAACATTTGATTTCAACTAAACCATTTGCCGTTAAAAACAGTCATGCTTTTGAGCCAACGCAATACAAAAATCATTCGTAAAAATAAAATCTAATAATAAAAATGTTTATATATCAATTTAAAAGATAATAATTCATTAATTTGTTAATAAAATACATCTATTAATATGAACTCGTGCTAATGAGACAACAATTAAAACTTCAACAGCAAGAACATTTCCTTAAATTACAACAAGCCCAAAAGCAAACAACAATACCACCAGCAAATACAACAAAAACAAGTAAGAAAGCTCTAGTCGAGACTGCTCGACTACGAGATCCCCTGAACCCTTGGAGCAATAGATATTTCACTACTTTTTCGCGACTTTCAGCTTACACACACGCACGTACGCACACACAGGTATACATACACACATACACACACACACGCATACAGACACAAACGCATACACACACACACATACACACACACATACACATACAAGCAACCACGCATAAACACGCATGGGCTGCAGTGTGCGCTTACTATGAGAACTTAATTGTTTAATAACTTTTTTTATGGACGTACGATCTTCATGAAACTTTTAGATTATGATTATAACATGAATATGCATGTAATTGCCAAAGCACAAGTCTCTAGTATTTGAAATACGCTTTTTACAAAAGTGAGGGTGAGGGGGTGAATTTAGAGGTGGGGGGTAAATTTTAACAAAAACCGAAATTGTATAAATTGCATATAAGCATACATTAAAAATTTGGAGACTCTAGCTATAAAGGTGTAGAAGATATAATTTTATATCTGGGTTTCGATAAGGTTTTTTATCGATAAAAAAGATCGAGATGAGTTATCGATTTTTAATGATAAACTTGATATGCGCGCTGTAATTACGGACATTTTAAAAAAAATTTGAAGTCTCTAGCACTTATATCTTCTGAAATCGACGCGTTCATACATACGGACAGACGGACAGACGGACAGACAGACGGACAGGGCCAAATCAACTCAGCTCGTCACCCTGATCAAGAATATATATACTTTGTGGGGTCTGCCACGCCTCCTTCTCCCTGTTACATACATTTCAACAAAACCATTATACCCTGATTTCCCATTGAAAATGGGTTCAGGGTATAAAAAGTAAGAAAGCTCTAGTCGAGACAACTCGACTACGAGATCCCCTGAACCCTTGGAGTAATAGCTATTTCAATCATTTTTCGCGTCTTTCAGCTTACACAAGAAACACGCACACACACACACACACAGCACACACAGGCATGCATAAATACACACACACACACACACGCACGCACGCACACACAGGCATGCATAAATATATATACACACACACACACACACAAACATTTACACACACATACACACACAAGCATAAACACGCATGGGCTGCAGTGAGCGCTTACTATGAGAACTTAATTATTTAATAACTTTCTTTGTGGGCATACGATCTTCATGAAACTTTCAGATTATGATTATAACATGGATATGCATGTATTTGCCAAGTCTGAAATACGCCTTTTACAAAAGTGATGGTGAGGGGGTAAATATAGGGGTGAAGGGTAAATTTTAACAAAAACCGAAATTGTATAAATTGCATATAAGGGTTTTTATCGATAAAAATCTTGATATGCTCCTTTTTATACCCTGAACCCATTTTCAATGGGAAACCAGGGTATAATGGTTTTGTTGAAATGTATGTACAGGCACAAGGAGGCGTGGCAGACCCCACAAAGTATATATATTCTTGATCAGGGTGACGAGCTGAGTCGATATAGCCCTGTCCGTCTGTCTGTCTGTCCGTCTGTCCGTATGTTTCAACGCGTCGATTTCCGAAGATTTAAGAGCTAGAGACTTCAAATTTTTTTTTTTAATGTCCGTAATTACAGCGCGGATATCGAGTTTATCATTAAAAATCGATAAACATCCCGATCTTATTGAAATAGCTATTACTCCAAGGGTTCAGAGGATCTCGTAGTCGAGCAGTCTCGACTAGAGCTTTCTTACTTGTTAAGAATTAAATTGTTGTTATGTTTGAGAACAAAAAATTTGTTGTAATTTTTGAGAATTAAATTTTTTGTAAGTGTTTAGGGCGGGCGGGTTGGTTGCGGGTATAAAATTTTTTTTTGCTTTCGGGTACGGATAAAATGTTGAACTTTTGACCGTGGGCGGATCGGGCCGGGTGCAAAAAAGTCGGCCCGTGCCCACCTCTATTAGCTACAACACAGATGACAACGCACAAAATGATGACGACAACTTCCCACCGTTGGATACAGCCACCAGCACAACAAAAAAGCAAAAAAGGAAAGCAACATTAACAACAACAACAAAAAGCAAAAGCAAGCGGCAACAAAACACTCTCCCAGTGAAAACCGTTGACAGCAACAACAACGACAACAACATCAACGACAACAACAACGATGAGCCAGCTCATCCAAACAACATCAAAATTCTGGCCATCACAATATATAACACGTCCTCCAAGGAAATGAATGGTATGCTACTACCCAATATCCCAAAAAATAATTATAATTTAAATATAATAAATAAAAACATCATGCTAATGAATGTCTATTATTTAAAACACTTTATCCAACTCAGAGAGATTCTATCAAATAATAAAAGAAACTATTACACATATACCCCTCATAATAAAACAAATAAGTGATGCTGGGCTTTCTTCGAGCAATAGCTATTTCAATTATTTTTCGCGTCTTTCTGCTTACACAAGAAACACGCACACACACATACACACGCACTCGCATGCACACACACACCTACAGGAAATCGAGTTGCGTTTTCGTGGAGTGCGGTCGATGTGATCACGATCCATTGTAGACTCTAGCTTGTTCTGTGATTGTCCCTGTAAAAGTGGAAAATCTGCTGTGGGCGCGACGTACCCAGCGACCCTGCAAGTGCATTCACTCTAACAGCTGTTAGTAGCGCTGGAAATTGCAGCGGATAATCAGCTGTTCACTAACTTTGGTGAGTTGCTAAGTCTTAGCAAAGACAGCAACCTGACTTTTGTAGTGAACTTACAGTTTTTAAAGGAGTGCATACTTTTGGGCTTAAGTTAGTTAGTTAAGCTGAGTTTAAGTTACTGCGGTCTCTAAACTCAAATTATATTAGTAGCTATTGCAAAATATACATACTATTAACTTTAAATTTCATTAATCGTATAAAAAATTAGTTTAGAAACAAAAATTTGAATTTTTTTTTCGTGAGCCTCTGTTTTGGTTGCGTTCGTTCAGCTTGTCAAATGTGAACACATCTTCTGCGTTCCAGAGCTATTTTTAGAACTTGCCGTTAAATTTGCGACAAAAGCGAGATGTACTTGAAAAGTTTAGACATTTTTGTGTCGCTTTGATACATTTTTTGTGTAAATTTTCCAACTTCTATTTTTATATTTTTAGCCTATGGGCGCAACCACTGTGCATTGCCCACTACTACTAGTCGGAGCAAAAATGGACGCCATGATGGAGGACGAGCTGCAAGAAAGTACATACACAAGAAAAGCTATTAAACAATTAAGTTCTCATAGTAAGCCCACACCATGCGTGTTTATGTGAGTGTGTGTGAGCGTGTTTCTTGTGTAAGCAGAAAGACGCGAAAAATTATTGAAATAGCTATTGCTCGAAGGGTTCAGGGGATCTCGTAGTCAAGCAGCTTTTGTCGATCTCGATATATCGCCGCTTTGAGTAAGAAATCAAACACATATAAGTGGTGAAAGTTTCTTTTGTAACAAAATTATATATATTTTTTGCGGGCTTGATCTATTTTTGGTAATTTAGTAAATAGGTAACAAGCATAGCTTTGGTGGTTCCTCTACAAAATGGACAAGTTTGTCGTTTCATCAAGTAAGTATTTTATACCCTGTGGAGGTTACATTACGTTAAAAAAAAATTTGCTATTATCTATAAAGCCTGCAATGCGTCCACTACAATTGCTTCGACAAATGCATTGATTGAATCGAATAGCAATAAGCCCAGTACTAAACAAAAAAAAAAAAAAAAAAAAAACACATGAAGTTTGGTCACATTTTGACAAACAAAGGAATATCGTTGCCAAATGCCGCATTGCGGAAAAGAGTACCGTATAAGCGTGTACATCCCTTGGTGGTATCACCGTCACTTGCCACTTCGTCGTAAATTTTATTCTAAAATCAGTTGTATTGTCCACAAGACCACTTGCATGTCAGATTAATAACAACAGTGATAACATTGCGACAACACTTCGAGAAATTTG